CCTCTGGTCTGGCCTCTGAACCGGGGCCCAACGGTCACGTAGGCCTGGAACACGGGCCGCAGCTGCACCAGCAGCTCCAGCCCGAAGGTGGTGGCCATCTGGAGGTGGGTGGACGTCTGCCTGAAGACGGTGACGTTGCCTGGGGAACACGGGCTGGGTGGGGGGCTGCCCTGGGCCGCCCGCGGACCAGGGCGGGGGGCTGGGACCTACGGGTCAGGTATGGCAGCCACTTGGCCTCTCCGTTGTTGGTGACCACGTCATCCTGAGAAATTGCGATTTTGTCCTGGAGAGAAAGTGGCCTGGTCACGCGGGTCGGGGGGGGCTGGCCCTGGGGCCCACCCACGGGGCAGGGGCTTCCTCACCTGGCCAGACGTGTAGATGACCGCAGAGAGGGAGGTCTCGGAGTGCGAGTACCCCGACTTGCTGAACACGGCGGTGAGGGAGCCCCCGTCAGGGAGCAGGGGGCTCTGTGGGGAGGCGCAGCTCAGCAGAGGCCCAGGGGCCACGCGGTCCCAACCCTGACGTCTGGGGCCTCCCGGGCGCGTCCTACCTGGAGGAGGACGTAGGAGCAGGTCCCGTGGAAGCGGTAGGGCCTGGCGTCGAATGTGGTGACGAAGGACCCCCCCTCCAGCGAGCAGCGCCCAGGGCAGGGCCGCTCCGTGCAGTCCCAGCGGCCCGCGGCGCACCGGCTGTGGGCGGGATGCGGTGGGCACCGGGCCGAGGCCGCCGCCACCCGCAGGCTCAGGGCCTCCCAGCGCCCCTCACCAGGTCCGGCAGGCCGCCGAGGTGACCTCCCCGGGGGCGTAGGCCACCCCGCCGCGCAGGCAGGGGCACCGGCTGACCGCCACACAGCTGCCGTTCCCTGAGATGTCGTCCAGCACCGTCCCTGGGGGCGAGGGTGGGGGTCCAGCTCAGCCTGACCCCACCTGGCCCCTTGCGGCCCGGCCCCACCCCGCCCCTTCCCCCGGCGAGGGTGGGGGGCGCTGCAGGAGGCGCCTGGGGGAGCCTGGCGTCGGGGGCTGGGGCGTCCGGGCGGGGCCTCACCCTCGGGGCAGAAGCAGCCGAAGGTGCAGAAGCCGGAGCAGCTGTGCTGCGGGTTGGAGCAGGTCCTGGCGCAGGGCTCCCCGCACTCCCGGTACACCTGGTTGGCCGGGCACCGGCCGAGGGCTGCGGCGCGGAGGGTGAGGGGCGGGCCGC